TGTGCGCCACGTTATTGTTTCGGTGAAATGAATTTCTACAATACTGTTACTGTTAATTGTCTCTGCAGTGTTTAAATGCTTACATATACACACACAGTTACTGTCCCTCCACACATACAACTCGGTTCTGCTTCTATGCCCCAGCTTTGTTTACTTTTTCCCACCGAGGCTTCCAGACTTCTGATTGGCCAACATTTCTACACGGTTAGGAATATAGCGCCACCTGCTGCTTTGGCATGTTCCTAGCAGCGTTTTCCTTCATTTCTGCCTTTACGTGTGGACGGGATTATTTTTTAAAACGAAAACGGAAAATCTCCGTTTTCAAAAATACCCGTGTACGTGTGGACGCAGCCCTAGTGAAGTAAATATGGTTGTTTATGGAAAGATGACTTGTACTTTATTTTTGCTCCTTGGTTAATCCAAAAAAAAATTATATACTTCCTATTTGTAAAGCTTATGAACATTTATACACATATGTACACACTAACAATTATGCATTTTAATTTATGTTGAATTTCTTATCTGATTTCATTAAATAAGAATTTTACCTGTTTACTTGCAGTTTATTCATAAGGGGTTGTGTGCACCTGTGTTTCTGGTGTATTTTGGCTACTTTCAAATGTAATTTTTAAAAACGTTTCTTCCTGGGTGGATCGTCTCCTTTTGCATGTGTCATGTGTTGCAATACCTGGGAAAAAGGAGAAAGTCTGTGTTGCCGAGCAAAGTCCGATGAAGCTGCTGAAACGAAGACTCCAGTTAAAGTCGTCGAATATCTGCCGGTTTCAGTTTGCAGTTAAAGAACTCAACACTGCAGCAAGAGCCCCAAAATCACAGCTGCGATCCAATAAACAAACACTGAACTCAAATATAGTTGAGCAGGTGAATACCTCCTCTTTTAATATGTAATTTATACACATAATTACATTGAAGGACACAACAACAATTGTTTTCTTTCCTGGGACAGAAACACAGACCACTGGCCAAAGACGGATTTATTGCATCCATTCATTTTGAATGCAGAAATCCTGTATTAGTATCTAGAAAGACGTGCATCTCCTGTGCAGTCTGGGTTCTCACATCATTGTGAAAACCCAGACTGCACCAATTATCACTTCCACGTGCACTTCACATGATGCCAGCAAAGAAAAAAGCTGCTTTGTTGCAGTTCTTTGGATGTTTTTGTACTCCTGTTCCACGCAGGCACCACATTACATTAGATTCAATACAGAGTGACAATAAATGAGCTTGCTGTGCATTCGAAATGACACCATTTCTATAACGGAGCTGAAACACTGGTAAGGACCTTTAAAGTCTTAGTACCCAAAGTTTCACATTCACAAGTAAACAGCTGCTATACTTTTATTCGTGGCTGTAAAGTGATCGTTCTGTAGTTGTAGAAAATCTCATCTTTGGGCTTGAACTGTACGAACATTAATAGTTATCGGCTGAGCAGATCATTAAAGCACAAGTGTAACGATAACTAAAGACATACTTAGTCTTCACAGCATGAACTTGAGATGTTTTTGCTTGTTGATTCCAGTGCATCGACAGTAAAGTCAGTCAGTATTGAGACGTTTAAAAAACAGTAACAATGGGGACAAATCAACGCCGTGTTCGTTAGCTTACTTTCTATTCTGGTACACGTGCATGCTGCCACTGACGAGCTTGATGATATGTGCTTTTGAATGTCAAAAAACGTTTAAACCACACTTACAATAATAAATAATCTCAGAAAACAGTTCTGCTGTAAAGGACAGGAAGTAGAAAATGTCAGCTGGCTTCATGCTAGATTACACAATCTGAAAGGTGCGCTCTGCACATCAGTGGGTTGAGATAAACACTGTGTGTGCTTACACTACAACAAGAGTCTGCAGTATCATTAGTATCCTTGAAAACTTCCCAACCTTGTAAACTTTGGATTTCTTGCTCATACTGTCAATTTGTTACAAATTTGCTTGTTCTGACATGATACAGAAGCGCGGTGAGGTTGCAAACCAAAGAGCATCACCAGTATGAAAACGCCACGAGGTCTGCATGATATCCAGTCTTTGAACACTCAGTGGACTGGGTGCATCTACATCTGAGGCCTCCGTGTGTTTGCACACCAGCATTACAGAGAGTACAGACGACATAAAGCTCCTAATGTAGGTAATGTAGTTTATGCAGGTTTTTTTAAGCGTTTTATGCTACTTCTTCCCTCTAGTGCTTGATATCGGGTGTTGCAGCCTAAGAAAAAGTCTCCCTCGGATGATACTGTCAGGTCAGACCAGACGAAAAACAAAAACAAAACATGATTTGTATAATAAGCGCACACAGTGAGTGATGTGAAGCACCTGAGAAACAGCACACCTGCAGACATTAATGCTCACGAGCAGCATTTACAGGCAAGAACTAGAACATCTACACGAGTGACACATGTTTTATTTATTTTTTACTGCTCGAGGCTATTTTTATTTTAGGTTCTATTTTTGACATTTAAACCTGTAAAACACCCAAATGTTCAGTGCTTACTATGAACATGTTGTATTTTCTGCTCTTAGGACACGTGTGAGTGCCATGCTGCGTTGATGATTATACGAAAACAATAAAATAAATGAAATAGTTGGGAAAACCTAAATGAAACTAAGTTTGTGAGAGAACTGGGCAGTTTGGAGGCTCACGCTTTGCTGCTATTTCAACTACAAACATTTTTTGTATTATCAGCCTGTATATACAGACAACAAAGCCTAGTGTCTGAGGGTTGTGTCAGTATGTTATGCCAAAAAGACGACATTTGGTGTTAAACAGGTCAGTTTAGGTTGTCACTATAACAGGTGGCAGGTACCTAATGTTGAATGGAATATAATAAAAGCAGCGTCACGTTTAAATTCTGTCTGCAGAAGGTAAAAAACAACACGTGCAGGTCTGAACAGCTGCTGGTGCAAATGAAAATCACAAGCTCCTGTTTTGTTAAGGATCTGCAGCCAGTTCAGTAGGAACGCAGGTTTGATTTCGCCGGTCTGTTTAACAAGGTGCTTCACATCTACAGAAAGTAAAGTCTGGGTTTGACAAGTTCCCGCAGTGCAAGCAGGTTTCATAAGACTGTTTCATGAATTTCCAGTTTGAAACTGGAAAGGAATGCGTGGAAATTAAGTAAATGAGGTGTGTCGATAACTTACAAAGGGAAATGCCTCAACCTTTCGCACACTGTACAGACACACATGCACAGAGAGAGACCCGCAATCCACCGGCAAACAAAGCCTGTATGGTTCTCAGGCTTCACTGGCCTGCAGTGTCCTCGCTGTAAATGTTCAACAGCCACCGCTGCACGTTAAAAAACTGCTAAATATTATCCAGATGACATCGATCCTGCTGGAGCTCTCACCCCGTTTCTCTTCCCAGTGGCACTGGCACCTCGACAGTTTGTCAAACAGAGATTTCTGCTGACTGCTTGTTATCCACAGATCTCAGGACACCACAGGAGTCATGTCCCAGAGCTGCAGACAAAACACAAGTAACCATCAGTCCGTTTAAGCAGAAACAGTTAAAGCTGTGTTTCTGTGAACCCCCCCTATAGCTCAGACATGTGCAACACTATCATCATCTGTTTGAATCAGATACTCCATGTAATTTGTCGACTTTAACTAATGCAATTTTTAAAAGACAGTAATTTAAACGCGTTTTTGACTAAATTAACATTAAAAATAGGAGAACAATATTTG